AGAGAGAGAGAGAGCAGGCAGGCATAGGTAGGAGTGATCTATATGAAAATAAATGGAAAATGTGGATGGCAGATATTCCTCTTGTCATATTGTATATCATCCCAAGCCCCCAGAGTGTTCTAATGTGACAATCCTCTGTGTAACTTTTTTGATTCTGCAAATATATTTAACAACGAGGCAAATGTGTCACTCTTTCCAGCACTTCGCAAAGGAAATTAATATTTCACCAGGGCATCCTCCGGACAGCATTAAAAGATTACTACAGGTTAAAGTTTATTAGTTATAAAATACCATGGTATTCATATAATTGCAGACTAAACAACTGTTGACATTTTACATATGCCAACGAGTTCATAAAAGATCCATGCATATGATTCACACATTGCAGCTCCTCTGGATAGCGGGCGAATTTACTCTTAGGGCAAATTGCGGCTGATGTAGCGCTAATCTCTCTAGATAGAAAAGCATAGTTATGTTCTACGGACGCTGGTTCGCGTTGTGCCAAATTCCTACCCCTATCAGGACTGTCTCCAGGTTGTATACATAACAAGCGAGGTAATTACATCGCACCTAGAATATTAATGCACATCATAAACCATTGTAATTAACGATGACAGCCGAAAGGCTATACGCTCACATTAGGCCTGTTTGTGTCGGGCATGTTCATTCTTTCATTCTTCCTTTTTGCTTTTCTTGCTCCTCTTTTTCTTTTTACCCCTATTTGTTCGTATCATATTTATTTCAACTTTGTTCTGATACTGTCAACCAATATTTTACTTTCTCCAAATTAATTAACGATTCGCTCATTTTTGCATTGTCCTTTCACTCATTCTCTTGTAAGTTAGGGAAGCATAGAATCATTGTCGCTTTATCTTCGCTTCTAATACAATTCAATGCTGAGCTTCTTTGTCTTCTTTTTTTTTTTTTTTTTTTCTAGCTTCAGTGTCTGTAGCCTGATCAGGAAATATATTCGGTTATTTTAAGCCCTGGGCTCTAATTGCGAGCGTTCACTCTGAATATTAGTAAATAAGGGGGAAATGTTATTAAGGAGAAGATACTATAAAAGAGGTCCAAGCTCTTTTGTATATACTGCAGTATACAACCCCTGGAATTAATAGAATTGAGGACACTGCTTGGTAGTATTACGATGTGATTCTTCCTACAAACCAGTGCTAGCATTACTTGTATGCAACAACGTCCCCTTCTGGATGCACAAGGTCAATGCAGCATTGTAATAGTGCTTAGCATGTGTGCAATTTACATTCACGTAAACATGTTACTGTTATCATTATTTTCCTTTTATTATAATTGCAGCATTACGTTGACACAATGCTTTTATGTTAGCATGCATATGTACCTATATGTGTAAGTTTGAAGGCGAGGGGATTCACCCAATCATTCCTGGTGTACATAGCGTATATAGTTGATACTAAATATTTTTAATACGAATGACAGAAGATGTCTGGATCTATTATCATGATTATAATGTATGTACTATAATTTTTTTTTTT